AAAGATTGTTGAGGTTCAGTTGCTGCTAACATGTAATGATTGGTTGAGAAGTGGCGGGCCGATCAATCTTGTAACTATATGTCTAGTTTCTTCTCTCATTCTTCTTTGGGTTTGTTAAAAGTATTATGGTTTTCTTCTTGTCTGTTGAAATGTATTATTTATTTGACCTCTTTACAAACTGTGAAGTCCTTGTGGAGACTTGCTTCATTTTTGTCATGTAAAAGGCCTTGATAGCTTATGTCTATTAAAATAATATTTTTTATGAAAATTTTTGAGTTTAGGCTTATGTCTCAAACCCCAAAATGACCCAAGTGGAGACCTGCTCCAATTTCTTACATGCTACATTATCTCGACCCACCACTTTTTTGTTTGCGTTTGTTATTGCTTAGGCCTTAGAGCACTGATAATGCATTGGTCCAATTTTATATATATGGCATATATATTGACTTAAGTCCTGAATGACATGGACAATACAAGTAAATAAAACCCAAAAGTTATTCAGTGTAAAAATAAATCTAGGTTTAGAATACTTGTCAACCAATAAAAAATTGCTCTAGTATGTTTACCTTATTAAAAGAAAAAATAAATTAGGAATAAATGTTGATTGTTCAGGTTTGTACTTGGGTCCAAAATAGACCTTATAGTAGACTTGGTCTTTTTTTTTTTTAATTACCACATAAGTGTCCACTTTTAATTGCATTGAGAGACATTTTTTTATAGATTAAGTCTATTTCTTACATTGCCTATGATATTTTTTTAAAAGATTAATGCATTGTGGGTGCTATTAAAGGGCACTAGACTTNAGAAACACAATATTAATATTATTAATAAAGGGCATAAATGTAAATCTACAATATATCTCAACAATTATCATACAAAACAAATGCATCCCAAAGCAAACCAACAAAACCTTATCTTATGTCAATCATACTCAACAAACTATCAATGCACCTTATCTCTACAATCCAATCTTGTTTAATGAGATAAAAAACAATCTTATCTTGACACTCCTAACAAACATGCACAAAGGAAGTCAATTCTATATATCTTAGCAATGCATACACAACAACCATCTGAATTAGTAAATGAGAAGCTAATGCAGTTCAACAAATATACAGTACTAACAAAGTTATGTATGTATACCATGAAAAGCAAAAAACACAAATACAAGAAAAGATAAAAAAAACCAAGTCTCACACCTAACAAAACCAAACCCACAATGCAAGTCACAAAATACTTTCACAAACCCATCACACAAAATATCTAAGAAAAATCCATCACTCAGTACCAACAGAAACATAAAACAACAATACCTGATAACAATTTCAATGGTTTAACAAACCCTAATCCGAAATATTAAGCCCCGTTTTGATCTTCTCAATTGTGGAGCTAATTAGAGCATGAACAGTGGCCACTGACTCCATGTTGAGCTCCTTTGTTAATGGTCCACGGCACACCAGTATTTGGAATGCTACAGTCAAGAGTGAACCGTTAGAGGAGTTATTGGCGTTTGAACTGCTTGAAGCTGCATTTGCTTTGTTCGGTCGGCCATCACCAGAGATTATATAGCCTGATGGGAGAATTGGTATCTTCGTGTTGTTTTCACCGTTAACAACTGATATGATGGTTGGTAAATCCATTGGGGCATAGATAAGTTGTGCTCCAAGGGAGTCGAGGCTACTCTCTTGCAGCATCAACATCTTGGTCTCTTTGGGGACAAATGGCTGCATATAAAACGGATTTTTAGGAAATATATGATTTTTTTTTAATTGAAATAAAGAAAAGAAAGAGGAATAGAAGAGAAGAAAAGTAATGGACAGGGAAAACAGATAATCTTATTCGACTTGAATGCGGATATTTAAGTAGAAGTATTGAGATCCATCATTGTTTACGGCTTAAGAATTATGGTAAAACCTTGACAATGTTGGTGAAGGTATCTTCTAAGAGTTTGAACAGAACAGTCATAGAAATGACAAACAAAACAAATATACTTCTTTCTCAAAATCACAGTACTACATAATTCAAAGGTTTTTGCTAAATTTGAAAAGTGAATTCCTCGTGTAAGCTTCACTTTTTGCTCAACTCTTGCTAACTTGCGTTATTTGTACTGACAATGCATGCTAGAAAGTGGAAACGTTTATATCACTCATAGTTTGAGCGCACATGCATTAGGAATTGCGTAACGTATTCATGATCAACTGTTCAGTTGCATAAAATCAGAATCAAGATGCAACACAAACGACAATTCTTGTTTTCACTTCTATTACATCTGAAAAACACACCTCAACATAAGTCACTAGTATTCTACATGGAGCTTTTTCTGGACATAAAATAAGTGATGCAAAAATAGATTTTCAGGTTCCAAATTTTATTATGCAGACACTTAAATTATACAGTCTTCTACCGAACTTGATAATATATCATATGAATGACTTTTGTGGAATCATCACATGTGAAATAAAACAAATATTACCTGTAATTTGTCAAATGTGAAAATATGATGAGTGGATATTGAATATTATGAGATTCGAACTTTTCATTTTCTAAGCTGGGTATTTGAGCGCATTAATTTGAAGCGCTGATTTTCCTTAGGTATCAAAATATTGGTTTTATACCTTGTCCTTAATAGAGCCAACAGTTCAAAGTCATATTTACATATAAAACAGATGCTTCAGCTTTTTTTCAATAATAGCGCCAATCTGGCATTCTCAATTTTATGACATCTCTCGCTAATACAATAATTCAGTCATTTAATGCATGAATATTAGTTTGTCAAACTCAGAGCACTCGGCTTGGGAAGTCATAATGATTTTCCAAAATTGCCACACCTTATATTCAATTCTCAATTTTTATCATGAAGATTTTCCAACACAGACCTTATTTAAACAAGGTCCATAGGAAATTAGAGAATCATTCTTGAAATCATAGAGATTAAGCTGCTTCTGAATTTAGGTACTAGAATATAATACAAAGCACATAAATTAAGGTTTAGAAACTAACCTGGATGATTGAGATACAATTCCCAGGAATTGCTCCAGTTGTGATGCGTGCAACTGCATTTGCAGGATTTCCACTGGATAACACATCCCACTGCACGGCAAAAATGCATTTAGTTTTCTTTACCTTAATTGGAGTGTCTTAAATTCACAAACTGTAATTAACGTAATCGATTAATGGAGGACAATTGCACTTTTTGACCTGGTATCTATTTTTCTCATCTCTCAGAAAATCAAAGAGATCTTCTTTCAAAAGGGGAAGCCAAATAGAGGTAGCCGCACTAACAACAAAGCCATCTACTTGGCCTGGTTCATCACTTTTGCGGAACGAGATTCGGACTCCACTATTTTCGAAATCTGACAGGTGAGGAAAATCGAGATTATCTGACATGCTTAGTGCCTCGCAAAAGTTCTTCACCATTCTGTGAGAGAGCTTCATGACATTTCGCCGTCCGTCGTATGAAGTGATAACTGAACGAAAAAAGACAGGAATAAATAACTTAAGCATAATATTTACAAGTACCCAAAAAACCATTGTAAAACGGATAGTAGATTAAATGAATACCCCCTTCAAGTTCATTTCTAGGTGCAGGAATTTCCCCCCTTGAGAATGCAAATCTCTCGCACATCCTTTGGAGAGTAGTGATCCACCGTTTGGCTCCATATGCTTGGCAACTGCGCACCAGATCTCTATATAGACGATGAGTCAATGATTTGTCATCCACTTGAACATGTTCAATCCATGTAACCTGTCAGGAAGAAAAGTTTATCTAAATATAGATATCGACAAAGATATATAGATATATGTATAAGTGCGTGCCAGTCGCATACTAGAAGGAAGAGAAAACATTTAAGGCAGTATAATTGTATGAGATACTGACAAGTGCATAAAAATTGGCCCACTAGTTTTCAGGTGAAAGGTTTAGGGTCTTTCATAAGGCAAGTACTTATCACCTGTTCCATTATAATGACGAGTTCCAAACATGCATACGGCAGAGGGGAAGATAGCAGAAAATAGAAATTTTCACCCATCTGTACTCATAGCTAAGCCAATTGGAATATGTGCAAATTCACACACTCGATTAATCAGTGTCCAAACGTGCCTTGTGTTGTGAATTGTGATACTTGGTCTACCACACTCAGAAAATTAAATTTTCCTATTGAATCATAACAGGATATAACAATGTAGCATGCCGACAAATATTGTACTAAGATCGCATCAATTAGACATAAGATATCTTTTATGTTGTGATTATCTCTTATTTTTTATTCTTCTATCTTCATTTCTGATATTTAATGAGGATTCAGTTTTCTATAATGTTCGTCATATGTCTTTTCCTGAGGGAAGTAAAGATTTTGGATGACCATATTGTGGCATTCATGAGTTATTAAAAGAGTATGGATGGTNTCTTTCTTATCAAACAATTCCTGCCCAAAAATAATGCCCATTGAAGAGAGAATATGAAAGCATGATGCAGATTGAATATTTCACAGACAGATCAATATCAAGCAGCTTGCTGCACCATGGATGGTTTACAAAATCAAAATTGAGATTGTAAAGCATTATAAGTCCGGGAAGGAATCAAATGATCGAAAAAATATGCATAGAAAACCAAGGATGAATAGAGTGGATGATGCAACGTAACAACAAATGTACATAAAAAAGGATCATATGAAATAAACTGAAGTTTCATTTACTTATCTGTACATGATCATCAATATGTTTCATAGCGTCAGTGACAAATAAGCCCTCCCAAATTAACTTGTACATGGTTGATTCCAACTACATTAAATTTACATGCAAACTTCCCTAGTTAACATAAACTATTGCAGAAGTGTTGCATGAAGACTTGTATCACATATTTATCATACCCAGTGGTAGAACTAATCCAATGATACAATTGTTTGATCTTTAATCCTGTTATGTTTACATTGACATAAATGCAAGATGAAGGGTTGCTTCAAGGAACTTGTATGGATGATTAATCGGGTCCCTTCTGGTAGTAATTTAGTTAGGTAATAGTCAGGGCTAACCTAAGAAAATGAATATTATTTATGCACGAAAAAAAAAAGCATGAACTTCTCGTGAAATAATCTCCTGCCCAAGCTAAAGACGAACAATAATTTTTCCTGTCTCTCAAGTTTAGTCTAAGGCTCACTTCAATCGAATACTAAACCCTGGCAAAACAACCCTATTTGGCATCTTAACTCTAGGGAGCAAAAGGCCATTAATGTATTTTAAAAATTCTAAATATCATAAAACATGACAAAGAAATAAAACAGCAACAGACAGGTCAGTTAACATTAAAGGATGGAACAGGGAACTACCCGACAAAACTACGTAAATAGAAAATGAAAATAACAGTAAACTATGTCTTATAAAATGAGACGGTTATATAAAGAAGCAGAACTCACAGTTGATTTCCCATTTGACATGTCTTCAATCATGCACCCAGAAGGAAGCTTCCAAGAGTGGGTAGGAGCACCATCTTGAAACCCTCTGAGAAAATCATAAGACACATCTACCATCAACCATTTGGTCTGATTGAGCTGTCTGCAATACCGAACAAAGAAGAACTCCCGAGGAGCCACAAGAGGTGACAAAACGTGCTCTTTCTCATACATCTGCATCAACATAGGAACTGATTCAAGTTAAATCTATCCAGATTTCGCAATAATGTCTTTCGTGGGTTTTAGGTCCATACCAGATGTAACAAGCCTCCCAAGATCCCCATATCAAGTACATCAATGATTTTCGCTTTCGAAATAATAGTAGGAAACATGTCCTTCCATTTATTCTGCAAAATATAGTAATAAAAAAAAAAAATTGAGAGTAGACTTTAAAAGACAATGCAGAAGATATATGGAAAAACAGTCCTGCTATAAAAACCAGCGCCTGACAAGTCTTATTGAGTCAAACACAATTAATGTGTCAGAACGAGCTCTATAATATTTGCAATTGGGACACGTCACTACATCATTCGTTGATGTGTCCACAAACATGCTAGCCATTGGTTTCTTTAGAATTTATTGACATGAAAATAAGTGCCGTCAATACCACGTCAAGAAGAATCTCCACTAATTTAAGCGCAGGCATTTCCACCTCGCCCGAATCCTTGGACGACTCAAATCGTGCGCTTGCAGTCTTGATGTGATTGGAATGGGGATAGAGCTTATCGTAACTCTCACGATGCATCGTGTATCTGCCATTTGCCGGGGTCCGGAGCCATATCGGCTCATTCACGTGCATGAGTTCCATGAGTTCATTTATGGAGCCAACGGCGGTTTCAATAATATTGGATCTGTCCACGTCAGTTATCCCGCTCAACCAATGTGGGGTTATGTGATTCTCCGCAGGCCGTGGCACGTGCTCGACGCTGGTGGGTCCCACACCTTCCCCCGGAAATTGGTTTATCTGCATAATATTGGCAAGGGGCTCTGTACTGGGCAATGGCATAGATGGATATCCCATGTAGTTAGCGAAGAAACCTATTGCTCGTTCATGCTGAAAATGTATTAAACGCCTTATATAAGCATCACCTCTTCCTTCAATCGCGAATTTTCCATCCTCAGCCTCAGTAAGTTGTTACGTCTCTCTTCTTCCCCAGGAAACGAGCCATTACATGCAGGACAAATGACGTTCTCCAGCGCCTCTTGCATAGCAATATTCTCAAAATGAATTCTTTCGTTTTCACTCCGGAGGGCGTTGTTGTCCGCACGCTCATTCTGAGCCTAAAATATGTTTCGAAAAGTGACTAGATCAGCATAAAGAAGTATGAAATAGTTGATGAGCAAAACACAATCGCTCACAAAATGTATGGAACTGGCATAAACGGTAATGAACCTTTATCTGAGTCCTTTTATTCTGAAACCAGAACTTTATCTGCTTCTGGTCGAGGCCCAGTTCCCTGCTCAATTGCTGCCTTTGGTTCTTATCTGGGTGTGGGCATTCTTTATAGAAACTACATAAATATGTAAAATCAAGCTAACTGCATTTTAAACCATCAAACTATAATATATAAACAGTCAAGTGGTCAACAGCCATTGAGAATCATAACTCTTTAAACCCCATAAATTTGTTACATCAAGAGCTAATTTCTTGTCTCAAATCATAAAATAAGTCTCTTAGGATTATAAGTTAAGAGATTAACATATTTGTACAGATCACTAACAGTTTCACAGAAACTTGTTTCATATCTCTAGTTTCTATTAAATAATGAAGTATAGAAAAATTATAATTTTCCATGCAAATGTCATTGTTCAAAAAGACCAAAATAAAAGATCAAGGAAAGGATTAACATCTAAAATACTTTAAATCAAATGGAGTATGAAAGTAAACGTACGCTTCAAGCTGCTGAATCTGCTGCGTTGAATGACGATGGTATTGTTTCTTGCCCTTTCTGGAGTTGTATATTTCTTCTTCTCCAGATCCATATGATAAATCCATCTCTATGTCAAAGAAAAAGAGCCTTCTCTTATTCTCAACTACACAAAACCAGGAAAATGATTAGCCAAGAACACAGAAGTGTGTGTAGCAATATAGTAGTTATGAGGCAGCCTTTGGAACAAAAAGAAAGTTGGCTATTTGGTAAAAATTGATACAGAATAAAGACAACAAATAACAGTAAATAATTATTTCCTTCTTTCTATTAGGGTTGCATCTCTTCATTGGACAACCCACACATAAAACATTAATTTGGAATATAGATATATACTGATAGTTATAGAAAGTGAAGAGGAACAATGGTCCAATGACAGAATCTCTGTAATAGACATAGGAATCTGGAAGGATATAGCAAGTGAGAAACTACTTCTAAATTATTGTTCTATATAAAAGTAAGTGTCTGGTTCTCTAACGGGCACAACCTTCAACTTCATAAAAAATGAGGGAATTAATACCAGGACTTGAGGGTCCAGAATGAAACAACTAAGAGAAGGTGAAGTATAAACAACAATCAAAATACTTCAAAGGCCAAGATAGCATTACCAAAGGTGGTGCAGAATGCCAATCTTGGAATGCACCGATAGTCTTTTATTTGAAAAATGCATATTGGACAGTGATAAATAAGGAACAAAAATGGATGGTAACCATTCAGAAGTTACCTTCTATTTACATGAGCAAATAAGGTTGGTTAATAATTAAAAATTCATACACTGAATATAGACATTCACTTACCATCTGTCATTTATTATGATGACTCTGATTATCTGGCAAGGGGATTACAGCAGATAGTTATTTGACAAAAGAACATAATTCACATTTATTGTAATTAGTTCATATTCAAAGGGGAAAAGTTTCAAACTTCTGATTGCAGTGCGATAAACTGAGCTCAGTAGTGAATTAGCTGAAAGTAAATTCTAAAATAATTATGCTAGAAGTATTCCACATTAAATTGTTTATTATGGTATTGCCTCTCTTTTATTTATGAAAACATGTAGCAGCATATAAAGTCATCATTTCACCATCCAGGAAGCAATCTTCCTTTTCTGTTCGTTTGAAGATGCAAGTGAAAACCTTTATATACTTTAAGACCACAATCACTTCCTTACATCTTATACTAGTTTATCAAGATAAATAATATCGCCACAGATAATTATAATTGCGGGGTTCCTCTCCTTATCAACTAGCATACATTCTTTTTCTTTTTTTTCACAAAAGCCATAACGAGTCAGCAAAACGATTTTAAGTATTTAAAGGTGAAGATAATTTTCTAGAAATATAAAGTTAACAAAAGGTTAAGGATCAATAACTGCCATCATGAGAGCAACTACATGGCCATATTTCATCAGCGGACACATTTCTTTTCTTAGAGCTTCTTACACTCACCTTCTTCTAGACTCCGTCAACTTATTCTTACTATACATATAACTAGTTAATCAGCCAACGCTAAGAAGATGACTTAGTATTTACTTGATTGCAATCATATAATGATGTTTGTCGCCTAACCTCCTTTCTGCATTTATTACATCTTATATTATCTTAATTTCATAATTGCAAATTAATATAATATATTGGAATGATATTCCCCATATAGAAGAATTATTAAAATCTTAAATTCCGAAAGCCGTAACGTTAAACTAAATGTCAATTAACTTTTAGGCTATTGAATAGATAAAAACTAACATTGCAACCAGCTCTTTCATTTTTAGTAACATCAGGAACACTGTCGTCGATATTATGTTTACAACAATATGTAATGTTCTTAAATAAGTATGCAGGCAGGTTCAAAAGTTCTTGAACCTATAGATATNATTTTGAACTTATCTAAGATACTTTGTCAAACAAGTTGACGGATCATTGGAGAATTCAGTACAGCAAATTGAATTATCATCATGCCTCTCGAATCCAATCTTATTATTATTATTATTATTATTATTATTATTATTATTATTATTATTATTATTATTATTATTACTATTTTGTGGTTGGACCTACATACATATATAAATCAGTTATAAAACCCTCAAAATAATACTGATTTTCCTTCATAAGTACATGAATCTTATAGGCAAGTTTAAATTCCAATGAATGCCATTCCATGACAGGTTGCAAAGTTTTGTTACATTAATAAGTTTACAAGGTAAAATGCAGAAGCGTACTTATGAGTATAAGAAAGCTACTTGAAAGCTGAACATATAGAAGTCCATACCCAAAATGCAGCATATTAAAAAAACATATGCACGGGCAATGTACACGATGTGGAAAGTGAGAGAAACAAAGAAGTCGAAATCCGTTTAATCTGAGATAAATAGTACAAAATCCACAATCATAGATCTAGTTCAAATGAAATCAGGATTGATTTCAACTACTACTTTCATCATGCACCACAGAAAGATTGGTCTAACTATCAAAATTGAACAATGAGCAAATCATTGAAATTCAATATCTCCTTTTTCCCCCAGTTCACTTAAAATGTTCATATCAATAAGGAGCATCCCAATGTCAAAGCATTTCCACTACTCCATCCCCATGAGCTCAAGGCAAAATGCAAACCATTTTCTCGAATTAATAATGATATTTCATTTAAGAAATAAGGTCAAAAGAGTAGCTCTTACTTCACGAGGTACAAGATGTTGCAGCGTGATGTACAAGCATCAAAACTGCAGTTTTTCCTGTTCCCTTCACCATTTTCCATTTTTCCTTTCTCTCATCACAGTACACAATGTTCACACAACAACGGAGCCCAACATATACCAGCTCCGCCACCATTCTTCCACCGGCATCAACACCAAATTGGCAGTTTTCAGCACAGCGCCGCCTTATATCGCCACCTCTACTCCACCGGTCGGCCGCTCCTGCCTTCTCTTTCCTCATCACTGAAAATCGTAAACCAAAACCGATTGAACTTACGAAATTGCAAAAAACTGGTTTATAATAAAATTGAGGGTAAAAACTTACTCGTTCCGGACGCCTGCAACATGGCTACAACTTGCACCGGGGGAGTTTCGAGGCGAAGAAAGGAGAACAGCTAAAGGGTGTCGACGCAACATAAAATTATGCTTTTGTTCGTTTGAAGGTAGTATTTTGGTTCGATCTTTCAACTGCAACATCTTGAAGCTTTGTTCTGTGTTGATGGGAAAATCTCAATGTCTTTGAACCTTGTATGATTGTATCATGTGATGGTCGTACGCCAACCAGCCCCAAACCCGGAATGAGTTGTTTGGGCCGGGTCTAGTTAAACTTGGGCCACTCCGATCCAAACTCATGGCTAATTTACATTATTTCTATAATTTTTGAAAAACTTTTCAAAATAACAAGTATATTAAAAGGGGCTAAAGGACGTCACTTACTCTTGCAAAAAAACTTCTCCCAAAATGCGATCATTTGAAAACAATTCCATTTCTAATCGCATGTATAGTTTCTATTTAAAATCGACCTTCTTTTCTTTCTTCTATGAAGCTTTTAGTTTATTTAAAGTTTATCTTAAGTTTATTATATTATTTTTATAACTTGAATCTTTTGGTTTTTTTCAAGTTTATTATCTATTTCTTTTACTAAATCACGAAAAATAATTTGACCAAAAAAAAATATATAAGATAAAATTAAATATAATGGTTTATCTTAAGTTTATTATCTATTTTTCTACAAAATCATGAAAAATAAATTGACAAAAAAAAAAACAAAACTAAATATAAACTACAAATAAGAAAAAAAAATAATACTTATAATCTAACCATTAATAAACATTAATCTAACTCTCAAATGTTCAAAAAACAATTATATTACATACCAATAGGTTCAATACACAAAGCAAAATTTTCCATTGCCTCGGTACCAAAGTAAAAAAAAAAAAATACTAGAACATTATAAACTATTTCTCATCCGAAAATAAACCAAAACCTATCACCTTTATCCGAATCTTCACCACACTAGTTTTTAGCCGTCATCCATACAAAATTGCTTAGCCCCGAATCTAGTAGTCAACTGTTAGACCTTGCACTAAGGTGGGGATCTTGCTTGGCTTGAATTTTTAATCACAAAAGATGGTGGAGACTGGTGTTTGACCTGGGATTTGATAGTCGTTCACGATCTTGCTCGATCTAGATCTGATAGTGCTTGGTTTCGGATCTGATAGCCGATAGCGGTGTGGCTCAATGGGATCTGATAGCCGGCGACAATAATTGAAAAAAAATCAACGAATAAAATAAATAATTAAAACCTAATGTTGAACTACAAAGAGAGGAAAAAGAGATCATAGATGTTGATAGATGAAAATAAATTAGATAGAAGAAGAGAAATTTTCTCTGTCGGCGATGCAAGGGAAAAAAATGAGGAAGGGAAGTAAGATAGAGTAAGGAAATATTTTGGATTAAATATATTCCTCACGGGCTAAATAATTAACAAATCCTCAATTGACCAGGCAATCATGGTTGTGTAGAATGGTTCCTTGGTGATATATAGAAAGAAGCAGAAATCAATTTCGAGCTTAGACGAGTCCGAACGGGCGTTGTTGTCGTTCGCGGTCACGGCGTCTTCTACCTCCTCACCCTGTGTGACTGTGTACTCTGGGATGGGACGTAGTCCTCCTCGAATAGAACTTGACTGAACGACGCCCTTGTGTGACCTCTTGGCCTCCAACAGTCAGAGAACTATAGGTACTCTCCCGGATGAGTGCACAGAAGATCAACATATTTGGATGTATAGGGGGTGAGTCTTCTGTTGGAACATACGTGAAGTCCACTTGTCTGATAAGGTTGTCCGTCAATTTGGGTGTCAGCAGTCTATCCCCCAAAATCCGATGATTAGTGGTGAGAAAGAATGAGAGACATGCCACAGAGGCCGTGGAATGACTCGGAGGGCATTTGGTGATCGGGCCGCCCTTCATTCACAGCTTACCAAGGGCTGAGTCAATGAAAGAGAACAAAATGTCCTCCAAGATGCCCCTGTGGATCACTTTCAACAGGCTGAGTAGGGTAACATTAATTGGTTTTACACTAGGACTGTAAGACTTATCAGTGACCCTACCAAGTACACGGTAATCCAACAGGACGGCGACCATCAGACAGTTGCCGAGCGGGAGAAGTGCGATGTAGTGTTCATTATTAACAAAAGATGATTAGTTCTGCCCCCATTTTGATTTTCTTATGTTGGTGTTTCATACTAATTACTTTGAATTTTATTTTCAGACTCAAGCCCTGGAGGAGTTTATAACTCGTTAGCGAATATTCAAAACATATTTCCTACACTCCCTCCACGGGCGCAGACCGCATTCCAACAGTCCTACAACATTGCCTATAGTTATCTGACCAACTGTTCTACAACATTGCCTATAGTTTCTGACTGTTGGAAGCCAAAAGGTCACACAAGAAGCGTCGTTCAGTCAAGTTTTATCCGAGGAGGACTACGTCCCATCCCAGAAAACACAGTCACAGAGGGCGAGGCATCAACCCCCTGCCAACATTGGTGGAAGTAGAAGACGTCGTGACCACGAACGACAACAACGCCCGTTCGAAATTGAGTTCGGTTTTTTTCTAACGAACCTCTCTATTCAATGATGCATGCATGACCAAATTATTCTTGAAATCATACTCTCCCAAAGCTCGTGGCCTACACATTAAACGTGTTTCGCGTGACTTTGCTTTTTGGGCCCTTTCGGACTCGTCCAAGCTCGAAATTGATTTTCGCTTCTTCATATATGTCGCCAACGAACCCATCTACTCAGCCATGATTGCCCGGTCAATTTTCGGGTTAAATCTATTCCTCACGGGGCTAAATATTTAATAAATGACCAACTATTTATATAATAGGTGATTTGTTAATTATTTAGCCCGTGAGAAATAGATTTAACCCGAAAATTGACCAGGCAATCATGGTTGTGTAGAATGGTTCCTTGGCGACATATAGGAAGAAGCGAAAATCAATTTCGAGCTTGGACCAGTCCGAACGGGCCCAAAAAGAAAAGTCGGTCAAGAGCTTTGGGAGAATATGATTTCAAGAATAATTTGGCCATTCAACATCATTGAATAGAGGGGTTCGTTAGCTACGTATAGGAACAAACGGAACTCAATTCCGAGTTCAGACGAGCCCAAAACACAAAATACATACTACATATTAATTTTTTTATTCATTAATTTTGAAATATAAAACGTATTAGTAAAATACGTTTTATTTCTTAATTATTTATAAAATGTATTATCATAATAAGTTTTATATAATTAAAAACTAAAACGTATTATTCAAATACGTTTTAGTTTTTAATTATTTGTTTAGTTCTAAATTGTAAAACGTATAACCAAAATACGTTTTATTTATTAATTTTTTTTTAATGTATTATGTGAATACGTTTTACAGTAAAAAATATTCCGATAATACGTTTTACACTATAAAACGTATTTTGAAAATAAGTTTTTATTTTAAAAAACGTATTTTCAAAATACGTGGTTTTGATTTTTGTCTACATGTTTTTAAATTTTTTGGTTTTGTCCACTTCATTTTTTTTATTTTTAAATAAATAAATAGAACGGCTAAATAATTTAATTTGGCGCTGGAATACGATCATGCTTCTCCAAAAAGGCCATCGCGAGCTCGTCTTCATCATCCTCCCCATGTTGAAAAAGATTCTCCCTCGAATCCACAGCGAGCTCGTCTTCCTCCGAATTGTCTCCAAGGAAGGGAACCAAGTGTTTCACATTAAATACATCCGATATGCGAATATGAGATGGGAGACGTAAGCGATATGCATTGGGGTTTACCTTCTCTAGGACCTCCAACGGTCCAATCTTGCGGGCCGAAAGCTTATTATATTCGTGAGCGGAGAATCGATCCTTTGTCAACACGACCCATACGAAATCGCCAACCTCAAATTCGACGTGCCTCCGCCGAACATCCGCACGCTTTTTATACGACGCCGTGACCTGCTCCAAGTGAGCTCGAGCAGCCTCATGCACACGTTGCAAGTCGCGCACCATGTCTTCAGCCCAGCGATCCGTCTGCATGGATGACGGGAGCGCCAATAAGTCGGCCGCACTTCGAGGACGCGCGGCGTAAACCACCTCAAAAGGTGAAAGCCCGGTGGCTCGACTGACGGCGGAATTATGTGCAAACTCCGCCTGGCTAAGCCGTTGATCCTAGCTCTTCAAATTCTCGCCAACTAAACAACGGAGTAAATTCCCCAGTGACCTATTGACGACCTCCGTCTGACCATCCGTTTGAGGATGATATGCACTACTAAAGTCCAAGCGAGTATAAACAAGACGCCACAAACTCTGCCAGAAAAAGCTAAGGAATCGCGTGTCGCGATCAGAAACGATAGAAGAAGGAATCCCATGTAATCGATATACCTCACGAAAGAACAGTTGAGCTACATGGACAGCATCAGTCATCCTCTTGCAAGGAATGAAATGTACCATCTTCGAAAAACGGTCGACCACGACAAAAATAGAGTCGTGACCCCGCTGAGTACGAGGTAACCCGAGAACAAAACAGGCTTATGGCGACCCACGGCTGGGAAGGAACAGGTAAGGGGCGGTACAATCCGGCATTCGAAACCACTCCTTTAGACACATGAAATACGCGGCAACGTTCAACAAAGCGAGTCACGTCCCGACGCAAGGACGGCCAAAAGAACGAGCGGCGAACAAGGGCAATGGAGCGATCACGGCCTACATGGCCCGTCCCGTGAATATCCGCAATAATCTTCAATCGTAGACTGCAATCGGGTATGCACAAGCACACGCCACGAAAGACAAACCCATCAGCAAGCACATAATCATCAATAGGGCCCAATGCAAGACGCGAGACAATAGGCCCGAAAAAAGGGTCAGTCGAATAAAGATCATGCAAAACATCAAAACCCACGACCGAAACTCGTATGTCAGTCAACAAAGCGACTCGACGGCTCAGTGCGTCCGCCACTCGATTAGAACTCCCCGAGCGGTGCCGCAAAACAAAGGTAAATTGCTGCAAATAGGAAGACCACGTCGCATGACGTGCTGAAATGTTATCCTGAGACGATAGGTGGCGTAAAGAGTCATGGTTGGAATAAAGAACGAACTCGTTCTGAAATAGGTAATGTCGCCAGTAACGCAGCGCTCGAAACACCGCATAAAATTCCACATCATACGTGTTGTAGCGCAGACGAGGACCTGACAATTTCTCGCTAAAGAATGCAACAGGCCGACCATCCTGGCTGAGAACGGCTCAAATTCCGAATTTGGAAGCATCACAGGAGAGTTCAAACGGACGAGAAAAATCTGGAAGGACCAAAATCGGGGCCGTCGTCAATTTGTTCTTGATAACAGTGAATGCCTTTGCAGCCTTTGGAGTCCATGTAAATGTCGTACCAGTAAGGCAGTCCGTGATCGGCGCGGTAATTGTACTAAAGTGAGAAATGAACGTCCAGTAAAAAGATGCGAGACCGTGAAAACTGCGAGCCTCCGTAAACGACCTTGGCGTCGGCCAGTCACGTATGGCGGTGACTTTGCTCTCATCGACACGTACACCATCAGCCGAAATAACGAACCCCAAGAAGAGAACCGACGGAACCATGAAGAAGCATTTACTCGAAGCCGCATATAAAGATTCAGATCTCAAAATGAGAAGAACAGACCTCACATGTGCCAAATGCTCCTCCAGTGTGCGACTGTAGATAAGGATGTCGTCGAAATAAACGACGACACACCGTCCAATGAGATCACGTAGTGCTTGGTTCATGACCCGCATGAAGGTGTTCGGGGCGTTTGAGAGGCCAAACGGCATAACCATCCACTCGAAAAGACCTTCTCGGATTTTGAAAGTCGTCTTCCATTCATCTCCCGGTCGAATGTGAATTGATGATAGCCACTCTGAAGATCAAGTTTGGTAAAGATAGAAGCACCATGTAGCTGGTCTAATAAATCGTCCAGACGTGGTATCGGGAAACGATAACGTACAGTAATCTTGTTGATGGCCCTGCTATCAACACACATTCGCCAAGATTGGTCTTTCTTTGGAATGAGTAAGGCCGAACCGGCGCACGGGCTTAGACTTCGTCGAACTGCCCCACACTCCAAAAGGGACTCCACCTGTCGTTGCAACTCCTCGTGCTCTGCCGGACTCATTCTGTAATGTGGTCGATTAGGTAAGGAAGCCCCCGGTACCAGGTCAATCTGGTGTTGAATGTCTTGAAGCGGAGGAAGTCCGGATGGTAGATCCTCCGAAAAAACATCAGCAAACTCTTCAAGTAACGGTCGGATTGCTTGTGGGGTGGACTGCTCGGGCTCAACATCAGTCTCTAAGAGAAATAATACAAACGGAGCCTCACGCATCTCGTCTTCAAATTCAGCCCGAGAAAGCAACAGAATTGGAGAAAACTCCGCGGTGGTTAACGCTCGAGGAGGAGACGGATGAAGAACCATTCGAATACCGTCAAACAAAAAGCTGTACGTGTTAAGTCGCCCGTCATGAACCACCGATCGATCAAACTGCCATGGACGTCCCAACAAAAGATGACACGCATCCATGGGAACCACATCACACCATGCTGCGTCTCGATACTTGGGTCCAATAGAAAAATTGACCAAGACCCTCATGTCGACCGTAACTGAGTTACCTCGCTGGATCCAGGCCAGAGTATAGGGCTGCGGGTGTGGTTCAGTCGACAAACCAAGGTGCTCCACGGCATCTTGAGCTACGACATTCTCACATGCACCGGAATCGATGATGAACCGGCACACGCGACCGCCCACCGTACATGTAGATTCAAAAATCTGTTGCCGTTGAACAGAGTCCCCATTCATTGCCCGAGGAAACAAATATGTTCGCCTTAGAACCAGTGCATGTCCCTCATCTCCACACAAGTGTTCCTCTGAAGGTTCGGGTATGTCATCGTAAACTGGCGGTGTATCGTATACCACTCCATAAATTCCCTCTAAATTCACTTCCGTCAAGAGTGTCCTCGACCCACCGCGCTTTGGGCATGCCGCTTTTCGGTGGCCCGCTTCTCCGCAAGCAAAGCAACGGATGTTGTTCCATGGTCGTGAGCCCGCCATCACCGCCGACGAAACTAAAACATCCGCCGAACCCACGACAGCCCCAGGAATCGCTCCGCTACGCCCCACCACGTTACTGCGTTCTATCGGGGGCGTTGCTGCCACTGATTGTCGGCATGTTCTCGTCATCAACTGACGTGACACAGTTCTTTGGAATATTTCATTAACAGCTTTTGTCTTGATCAATTGGCGGATATTTTTACAAAGGCCTTATCATACCAATTCTTCACTCGTCTCCGCAACAAACTTCACATTTTACCGCGAGCCTCGTTTGAATTGCGGGGGGGGTAAAAGCCAGCAAGAGGATGATGTCATCAAGTGACGTGGCACAGTTCTTTGGAATATTTCATTAACAGCTTTTGTCTTCTTTCTTTATTCCTTTATTATAGATTGGTGACAAGTGTAAGGTTTAGATTAGTTTCCTTCTTGCTATATATATGTACAAATCCCACAACTAGGTTAATTTAATGAAATCATATTGAACATGGCGGCTATCGTTCTCTGTGTGCTTGTTCAAGAAGTTTTCCTTCCATGGCTGTGCATGTTTTCTAACACATGTACATGTGGCGATCGATGAACCAGTTTCACCAAGTCCAGAATGACGTGGTCCAGCAGGTTCGTGGGCTGGTCCAACAGGCGAACAAGGCCCAATCCACTTCCGATCTCCACCGGCAGGCCACCCGAGACTTTGAGTCTGCTGTCTCTGCTTGGCGCTCAGCTTTTTGCCGACTCGTCAAATTCCAGCTCGATTTCATCCGATCCCTCCATGCCTGGTACAGACTTACACTCATCCCCATCAATAACGAACAACAACAACAAAGCAAGAACAATAATAATAAAGACCCGATTTCGAACTCGGTCGCCTTTTGTCACGAATAGAAACTCGCCCTCGACCGGGTCCCTGACACGGTGGCCTCCGAGGCATCAAGAGCTTCAGCAACGTTGTGCACTCCATCTCGTTAAAGCAGACAGAAGATATTAAAATCAAGAAAAGGACCGAAAGTTCGTCCAAGGAGCTCGAGAAGAAAGCATCTTCTTTGAGGAGTATTGAGAAGAAATACTATCATTCGTACTCTATGGCGGGGATTGGGCTTTCGGATGATGGTCCCAATGGTTGGGCGGGCCTGGATGCTCGAGACCCACTGGCAGATAAGAAGGCTGAGCTGGCGGTGTGTCAAAGGCGAGTGGAGGATGAATTGCAGAGGCATGCGAAGGCAGTTGAAGTGACTCAGGCCATGACGTTGAATATTATTCAAACAGGCCTGCCACGGGAGTTTTTCAGGCTATGATGAGCTTCTCGAGCCTGATGAATGAGGCGCTTGAGACGGTATGCAATCGGTCGTATGCGATTTAGTGTGGGATGGTGTTAAAATGGAGTTTCTATATTATTTTTTTTTTTTTTTTTTGGTGGGGGG